ATTTGGTTATCTGGATTTAAGTTCAATTCCTAATTGGTTTGTATACAATTGTGGTTTGATTGATACCAAACCCTGAGAAGGTTTTGAGATATGATTTACAGCAATTGGAAGCAATTGGATGAAGATGATTGATGATGAGAAGGGGACGCCGTTGAGGCCAAATTGGGAGATGAATTTGTATGTGTTTGGTCTGTTCAATAAGAACATGAAACCAGGGAGAGGAATTCTGGGTTGTTCATGGCGGATAGGATGCCGGTATATTTACGCAAACTCGACGGAGGTCCAACTATGAGTTTTGAAACGCCGACTCGGAGATTGAGTCCACCGCTTCTTTTTCTCTCTCTTCATTAAATTTTGGAAAGTCAATTGAAAATGTTTTAAATTAAATTTGCCGACTTTGAAATTGGGTCCACCGCTTCTTTTTCTCTCTCTTCATTAAATTTTGGAAAGTCAATTGAAAATGTTTTAAATTAAATTTGCCGACTTTGAAATTGGGTCCACCGCTTCTTTTTCTCTCTCTTCATTAAATTTTGGAAAGTCAATTGAAAATGTTTTAAATTAAATTTGCCGACTTTGAAATTGGGTCCACCGCTTCTTTTTCTCTCTCTTCATTAAATTTTGGAAAGTCAATTGAAAATGTTTTAAATTAAATTTTCTAATTTGAAATAAATATATAAATATGGCATGTTTATGTGTTTGGCAAAATGGTTTTTTCCGATATTTTAAAGAAATTATTTGATGATTTTGAAATATTTTTTTAACAAACTCGTAACAGAATTTGGTATCGGTGTGATGGTTTGTTTTAATTCACTATTTCTTTTTGTCATTAGATTCTGGACATGGGCCAATCTATTTGGTACCATTCAAAATATTCTGGGCTTAGATTTGGGTCCAATAGTAATGACAAATTATTGGGCTGAGCATTAATGGGTAATGATTTAAATTTTTATGAAGTGGCTCATATATTTATTTTTATTTTTTGGGTTAGTGTTATGATTCTATTTATAACTTGTTTCTTCTTATTTAATTAAATGTTCTAATCGGGTATGACCATGATTAACTTTTATTTGAGGAATACTTTGCATTTAAATTTTATAATTGTTAGAATTTGAATTATGCATATTTGTTTATAAGTTAGTATCTCAAGTTCCTCTTAAGAAAAGGCACAAATATTTGACAAATATTTTGTGAAAGTTTTCCAAAATGTGTTTTTAAAATCAAGATATGATTACTAAAATCTGGTATGAGTTTTGGTTTGTAAATTCTCAAAACTTGAGAAAATATAGAGTATATGTTATATATTTGGGAAAATTTTCTGAATGTAATTTGATGTCATTAATTGATATATTTGATATATTGATTTGGTATATGGTGTATTATAGATGGATGACAATTATTTATCCAAGTGTTGATAAAAATGTAAAACTACCCTTAGTTCGGCCCTTCCTTTTACTCCTCATATCGGTTCTCCCTTGCATGAACCATGATATGTTGGGACCGAGCTACCGAGTAGCAAGGTATTGACCGATCTATCCAGAATACGTCATGACCGGACTACCTCAGAGACCGGACTAACTCAAGTTGTCCAAACTGAAGTAGCTTTACAACTCCTGAGCCAAAGTAACTTCATCTCTTTTGACCGAAGTAACTTTATTTCTCATGGGCCGGAGTAACTTCTCGGCCCATTTTACCCAGTCCTTCGTACTTTGGGGCCATAAAGTCCATTTCATAGCTCGGCCCAATTTTCACCAAAAATTACCCTCT